CACCTTTTGTACTTCTCTGTACAATTGTTTGTGTCCACTGGACGTAATGAATGTATCAAATAAAATCTCTCTCCTTACCTTTTCATCTCTCTCTCTCTCTCTCTCTCTCTATCTATCTATCTATCTATCTATCTATCTATCTATCTATCTATCTATCTATCTATCTCTCTCTCTCTCTCTCTCTCTATCTCTATCTCTCTCTCTCTCTCTCTCTCTCTCTCTCTCTCTCTCTCTCAATACACACGCACACACACACACACGCACATACATATATTCACATACACATATTATATATATATATATATATATATATATATATATATATATATATATATATATATATATATATATATATATATATATATATGTATGCATGTCGAAATGCTCAGAGAAAGGTATTGATCTCATTTGGAACCTCCTTGATGATATCTATGAAACAGCCAATTACTTAAAAAGATTAAATCAGTATTCATTACCCCACCGAAGGCCCGGAACACTTGAGTGCTCACAACATCGCACAATTAATGTAATGTCGCATTTTCTACTGAAAATCACTCCACAAAGGATCAGAAGGTAGCTCCTGCCCGAAATATCAGAGACTCAGTTCGGGTTTATGAAGGATGTACGAGGAATGCCATCTTCGCCGTGAGAATGCTTGCCGAGAGAGCCATCCAACACCAGCAGCCTACCTGGTTTCCATTGACCATCAAAAAACTTTTGATAAGGTCCGACAAATGGCATTGTTCAAAATCCTCGCAAATATCCGGATAGATGACAAAGATATGAGACTAATCAATCTAGCAAGAGCAACTCAAATCAGATCAAATCTCTCTCCTTACCCTTTCACTTCTCTCCCTCCTCTCTCTCTCTCTCTCTCTCTCTCTCTCTCTCTCTCTCTCTCTCTCTCTCTCTCTCTCTCTCTCTCTCTCTCTCTTTCTCTCTCTCTCTCAATACACACGCACACACACATTTGACTTCTTCAAGTTATCCTGTGGGAGATTGAAGATCGCCTGGAGGGAATCGTTATCAGTGGTTGCAAGATCAACAATCTCCGTTATGCAGATGAAACAATTCCCATGGCCACATCTGTAAATGACCCCTAAAAACTTTTTGATGCTGTTTTGGAAGCCTCCCTGTCAATAGCAAGAAAGCAAAATGCATGGTGGTTCAAAATGGGAGGCCCCACCAACTAGTCCATTGAAACAACGAGAAACAGAAATCCAACAGGCGTCCTTCTTCAATTATTTAGTAACTTTCGTCACTTTAGATGCTCGTTGCAAGAAGGAAATCAGACGCAGAATCGGACTGGCAAAAGATGCGTTTTCCAAACTTCGGAATATCCTAACAGACCGCAAGCTCTCAATGCAAATGCAATCAGATTCGTTAAAACTTTTATTTGGTTGACTCTCCTATATGGTTGCGAGTCCTGGATACTGACGGCTGAAACTCGGCGCAATATAGAGCCATAGAAATGTGGTTCTGGCGCAGGATGTTGCGCCCCCATTACGCCGACCGACTGTCCAACGAGGCAAGCAGGCTCGAGGTAGACCGAGAAAAACATTCCTTGACAATTTCAATATACTAACACTTCGATGCCTCTGGGACAAAGCTCGACACCGTGAAATATGGCGCCAAGTAGTTCGTCAAACGCCACATTGGTGCTGGCACAGAAAGTGAGATAAAATGTATGTATGTATGTATGTTTGTGCGTGACCCTGATGCTGTTTTGCTGAAATAAGATATCTGCAAAACTTTGTCTGTTATTTTTGGAAAAGCTGCGCGTTTATCATAATGTGCTTGTAAGCATAATATGTGTGTGTATATACTTATGTAAAATGTATATGATATATATGTTTTTATGTGTGTGTGTTTTTGTGTGTACATGTGCATGTGCGTGTTGAGTGTGTGTCTGTGTACACATATATATACTGTATATGATATGTGTATGTAATTGTGTATGCGTGTACGTGAGCGCGCGCGCGCGCGTGTGTGTGATTGTGTGTGAGTGTGTATGTGTTTGTTTAAAATGATTTGACTTCCTTGATAAACGATGTCACTTTCCTTTGACACCCAAAGTGCTTCGATCGCGGATGAAACTGCTGACCCACACACGCCACCATCCCCATTGGGCGCGCTGCCTGACCGCAAGCGGCATCGCACAGTTCATGGCTCTGTCGCGTCCCATAAATAACGAGGGGTGTCCCGCCGCCCACTCGCGGCTACCGTAACGCGAGGCCTCGGGTTCACGACCTCGCCACGTAACAGGAGACCCGAGTAACTACTACCACATGAATCATACTGACCTGTTAACCGCGTGTGCGAAGCCGCAGGAGCTGACTAGTAATACGAACAGGATCCGCATCTTGCTCCGGCACACACTGCGTGTCTCACTCCCTTGATCACTGCCTCGCAGTTATGAATGAAAGTTTGGCGCAAACCTCGGCCGCTTAAAAGGGTCCCCGAGCGCCCGTGCCGCCGCGTCCCGCCTCCCTGACTCCGC